CAAGTATATTACAACCAACCTAATCAGACTAAACAACTCCTTCATTTCAACACTTGTGGCCAGGTGTGGTGGCACACTCCAGCACTTAGGCTGAGGCAGGAGGATCGCTGTTAGTTCAAGGCCAGCCTGGCCTACATAGCGAGTTCAAGTCCAGCTTGAATTATATAGTGAGACCCTGTCTCTCAAAAAAACAAAAAACTTGTAAGCTATTTCCTGGCTTACCTGAGCACTATTTCTTCTGCTGATTCTATCTGAGGACAAAAGTAGAACTAGAGAGGACAATCATGTGTCAATGCCTGTATCTTTATGAATCTAAAGAAGCAAAAAGAAGTTTAGTATGTGATGGTGATGAGGAGGGGTGTTATATGTCAATAAAAAACTAAAAAAGAGGTAGGAGTGGTACAGCTACCCAACCAGAACATCCAAAGACACAATTATATTAATTCATGCTATACATACAAATACAACTCTCACTCTTTTCCTTTATCTATAACTAATATACTTCAAATCCTCTACTTTTACCAGAACATTCTTCACTGGAAGTGCTTAAAATACGGCTAATGGAAATTGAGATATGCCGTAAATATAAAATGTATGCCAGACCTCAAAAACATAAAAGAGAACAAAATATCTCATTAATCATTTTGTATCGACTACATGTTGAAGTGATAATATTTGTCATTCTTTATTCAGTTTCTGTCCAGGGTAAACAGGTCCCGAGAAGAAGGATGAAAAGAAAAGAGAAACAAGAAAAACAAGAGAGACAAAATTCTGGGATGGGGGCTTACAGCCTCTCGGACTGCAGCCTTGATTATCAATCTCAGTCACCTTTTATTGAGGTGAGAATAAAGAAAGCAGCTAGTACAGATGGGCAGATATCAAATGTCTTAGCAAGGACAAGACAACTCAATTATCAGAGGTATGAGATTTGACTTAGGGGCTGGGGATTTAGCTCAGCTGCACAGCGCCTGCTTGGCAAGTGCAAGGTTGTGAGTTTGATTCCCGGTACCAGAGAAAAATAAAAAAAAAAGAAAACCCTAACAAACAATAAATAAATCATTATGTGTCCTCAGTGCTTTTTCTAACTAAAGAATGTCCTTTTCCACAAGTATTTTATATACGTCATAGGTTAAATAAATAATAATAGGTTAAATAATATATTTAAAATAAATTTCACCTTTTTTGTTTTATTTTTAAAACGTATCCAGTAGAAGATTTAAAATGACACATGTAGCTAATGTGTTGCTACTGGCAGCGTGATTTCAGGACAGCCCGTCAGTGCGTTGCAGACGATAACGTGGGCTTTTTGAGCAACGTCTTGATGGTACTCTGTCACATGTTGAGCTTTGCGGAAGCCATGAAATGGAGTCAGGAATCCCCAAAGCAGTCTTCCTGAGACTAACTTGCTCCGCCCTCTCTCTGACACTCCCATGTCTGCATTTCACTTTCTCTTGGCTGCAGATCAAACCCCATTCCTCAAAACACAGAAGACGGTCCTGGGGACCCACCAGACAGGCTGGGCAGGTAGGGAGTAAGGAGCTCCTGTCACTCACTCAGGTGACTGTCACCTTGTGCTTTACCTGGCTTCCACATGCAAGGGCCTTCTCTGCCACCCACTCACGCCGGTTCTCGGCTCCGCAGCCTGTGAAGCACTGCTCCCAGCCCAGACTGCCAGTAGGAAGGCGCAGGGGAGGGGAGTCCAAGCCTGCCAGGCCCTCAGACCCTGAAAGGCATGGGCCTGGGCCAGGGTGTCCCAAGCAGCCCCAAACCCCAGCTTCCAGGCCGCCAGAGTCCTGCTCAGCAAAGGGGGCGCTGAGCAAGACATGGGCAGAGACCTCATAATTTGTAGAATCCCAGTCTCCCTTTTTCAGCAAAAGCAAGCCTGTGATCAAAGATCTAAATATTAAAACAGAAACATTAAATCTGCTGGAAGAGAGGCTAGGTAAAACTCTTGAAGACATTGGTGTAGGCAAAGACTTCATGAATAAAACTGGGATCACACAGGAAGTATCACACAGAATCAACAGCTGGGATCTCATCTTATTAAAAAAGCTTTTGCAAAAAAATAAAATAAAATAAAATAAAATAAAAAAGCTTTTGCACAGCAAGAGAAACCACCAACAGAGTGAAGAGACAACCCACAATGTGGGAAAAAATGTTCGCCAGCTGTTGCTCAAACAAAGGATTACTATCAAGAATGTATAAAGAACTCCAAAAAATCAGACCTCCCAAATTTAAAGACCCAATCCAAAAATAGGCATCTGAGATGAATACACACTTCTCAGATGAAGAAATACAAACAACAATAAATATATGAAAAAATATTCAACATCACTGTCATTCAAGAGATGAAAATTAAAACAACACCAAGATTCCTCCTCACCCCAGAAAGAATGCCTATCATCAAGAAATCAACCAATAACAAATGCTGGAGGGGCTATAGGAAAAAAAGGAACCCTTCTCCATTGTTGGTGGAAGTGTAGACTGGTGCAACCACTGTGGAAATCAGTGTGGAGATTCCTCAAAAAACTAGGATTAGTGGTCCCATTTGACCCAACTGTTCCCCTTCTGGGTATCTTCCCATAAGAATTAAAAACAACATACCAGGGGCTGGGGATTTAGCTCAGCGGCAAAAGTGCCTGCCTGGCAAGCGCAAGGTCGTGAGTTCGGTTCCCGGTACCAGAGAAAAAAACCAAAAAAACAAACAAACAAACAAACAAAAAAAAACAACATACCACAGTGATACATGTGCACCCATGTTTATAGCAGCACAATTTGTAATAGCTAGATCTTAGGGGCTGGGGATTTAGCTCAGCGGCAAAGCGCCTGCCTGGCAAGCGCAAGGTCGTGAGTTCGGTTCCCGGTACCGGAGAAAAACCAAAACCAAAAAAAAAAAAAAAAAAAAAAAAAGCTAGATCTTGGAAACAACCCAAATGCCTATCAGCTGAGGGATGGATAAAAAAGATGCAGTCTTTGTATCCAATGGAGTAGTACTCTGCCATAAAAGAGGATAAACTGGAGACTTTTATAGGTAAATGGATGCAACTCAAGACCACACTCATAAATGAAATAAACCAGACGCACATGTGTAAACATCATATTGTCTCCCCAGTGTGAGAAGCTGAAAAAGTAAATAAGATCCAAAATGTACAATAGATACTGTAAAATGAAAAGAAATTTCAAAAGGAAAGAGAAACTGAGATGGGGGAATGGAGAAAAGAAGGAAGGGAAAAGCACAAAAGAAAAAAATATACATACATATAATAAAGATAGTTATACTACTAATTTCTTAGTTCATTGAAAAGAAAGCTTTACGCTAATATTGTTTGGACAATCAAATGCCAATATCTTGTACTCTGAGTAGCTAATTTAAAGATAACAATATGCAGTGTATTAACCATTGTTGCCCTCCTATTATACTGTTTTGAAATTTTGGTGGGCTTTTTTTTCTGTCTTTAAAATAAAAATAAAACAAAAAGCAAGCCTGCACATCATGGCTCTGCCCAATGCTTCTTCCCATAAAGCCTGGTAAGTGCAGCACCTCCAGGGCAGGGTAAGCAGATAAAAGCCTGAACCCGGGGGTGCCCATCCACCGGAGGAGGCGGGGGAGAGTGTGTGTTAGAGGGCGCCACCGAGAGAGCCAGAGCGCAAGGCTGACTCAGTCCCCTGCCAGGGAGGAGGCAGTCACACCCACAGCTCTCTGCTGGGGCGGGGCAAAGCGGAACTGGCAGCGCTGTTAATAGTATCACATCTGGTGAGGACAGACTTTATTTATCTGACAGTCATAAACTTTAATACCAGTGAAGAATTAGAGAGATAAGCTTATAAGATATAAGGAGAAACAAAATCACTTTATTGGAAAGAAGAGAGAAATGAGGAGAGGGGCAGCTTCTCGGAGGAATAGGGGGAGCCTTGCTCTGGGTCTCTATTCTTAGCCCCCACACCTTCCTGCCCTGCTTTTCAATGATGACTGAGTAATTATGAGAATGCCCCTAAGCCGGGGGTGGTGGCTCACACCTGTAATCCCAGCACTCGGGAGGCTGAGGCAGGAGGATCGGTGCGAGTTTGAGACCAGCCTGGGCTACAAAGTGAGCTCAAGGCCAGCTTGAACTGCATAGCGAGACCCCGTCTCAAAAAGACAAAAAAAAAAAAAAAAGAGAGAGAGAGAGAGAGAGAGAACCCCAGTAAAAAAAAAAAAAAAAAATGACATCAGGGTTTGGGCTAAGGAAGGGTTGCCTCAGTGTCTGGCCTCCACAGGTGAGTAGGAGCTGGCAGGGGTGGAGCTGTAGAGAGAGTTCCAGCCAAGCAGCAGAAGCCTGTGCAAAGGCCGACTCTGTCCCCAGGCACAAATGACCATCGCCCCCGGGTTCCTCGGGCCTGGCCTCTCCGGGCTTTCCCACCCAACAAACACTTTCCAGCGAGGACAAGAGTCTAATTTAGTTCCCAGGAAGTGCAGGCCTGGCGCCAGCCCAGCACTACTAACATGTTGAATACAATTAGACATTTGCGTAACAACCATCGGGTCCTGCTACCTCCCCCAACCAGTCTCCCAGGGTCTCAGTTTCCCCAACGGTCAAACGCAGCCAATTCTAAGAAGGCTCCGCGCAGGAGCTCCAAGGCTGAGCTGGGGTGATTTTTTTTTTTTTCCTTTTCTTTTGCTTTGTAACCATGACTGGTGCCAGAGGCATCCTTAACCTTCAGATTCCCCAAGTCTTAACACGGGGCCGCTTTTGCTTTATCTCCCCTTTCTTCGTGTGTGTCTGTACTTGGTTACATACAAATTTAACTGAACCACTTGAAAGGGCATCGCAGCAAAGATTCCAACATTTCTCCTGAACTGTCATTAACTAAGACAAGGACAGTGTCCTAGACCATTACCACATGGAAGAAAATTAACAGTAACTCAACATCTAGAACAGGGCAGAAGGACCAAAACCTGAGCTGCGCCGGTCTTTGGAGCAGATGGGGGAGGCTGGACAGAGGCGGCTCGCGCCCCGCGGCGCCGGTTGCTGCCGCCCCTGGCAACGGTCGGCGTCCCTTCCTGGAGACTGCGCCCTGGACGCCGCGCCGCTCGGTGGGGCAGGTAGGTCCCCCAGGCCGCGGGGTTGCGGGGCAGGGTAACTCGGTGAGGTGTCAAGGGTCCCTGTTACCGCCTACCGGTCCAGGCAGCCCGACCAACCTCGGGCAGGGTGGAGATGGGGGCGGGGGGACTGCTTCATAAAACAGTCCCGTAGATAAGAGCTGCACTACCCAGATCGATGGGGGGTTACCCCCTGGATGCTGAGGCTGTGGGGAACACCGAAGATTCTGGTCCTCCTCAACCGCCAGTCAGTCTTCTTAACCAGATAGCAGAATGGTCACAAAGATCAACTTCATGCTTCGCTTTACCCACCCTATTCATTAATTCATGGTTCAAACAATCCTTTAGCAAATAATTTTGGGCACTTACTGTGTGCCAAATCTGTGCCAGCTCCAGGCTAGGAGCCCGTTTCCCAGAAATCAGCGTTACTTGAAAAGTCCTGCCCAGCTAGCCAGGGAGAGAGACGTGCATGGATATCTCCAGATGTTCGCTGGAGCCAGGAGCCTCAGACAGCTGTGGGAACAGAGATATTGGGTGAATTCTTCAAAGGATGGCAAGAACCCCACGCCTGTGAGAGCAGTTACCGCCCATGGCACCATCTGCCCATATCCCCACAAGGGCTGAGACTTCCAAAAATCCTGAAAGTCACGGATCCATTCATCAAATGGGGCTTATACATGGAACCCTGGGATGTGAAACAGGGTCCTTTTTGAGTCAGAGATGGGTGGCTTAGAAGCCGTGCTGTGTAGACCCTCCTCCTGTCAGGCACCCACTCAGCAGACTCACAGGGCTTCTCGGTACACAGGTTGAAAACCTGTGAGGTGTTAAGAATGTGGGTGTTAGGTGTCCACCAGAGGTAAAGACTTCAAATTCTGTTCGGGTTCTGCCAGGTTTTTTTTTTTTTTTTGCAGTTGGGGGGGGAGCAAGTTTCTTGACTTCTCCGGACCTGAGTTTCCTTGTCTCTTAAGTTGGTGCAGCACCAGTCCCTGTTGCTTGGATGAATACCCCTGCTCACCTGTGTGCATCCACTCGTGTGCTGGGCAGGTGGTTACATGGGGTTCAGTGTCAGCGAATCCAACCCGAAGCACTGTCCTGCTCAAGCTAATAGGGTTCCCGAGTCATGTGAGTGAAGAGCAAGAAGAACTTAGGGTCCTATTCCAGCTGTGCCTCTTACTGGCTATGTGATTTGGGCAGGTCACTTACTCTTTTCCAGTGTTGTTTTGCTCCTCTGAGAAATGACAATAGCCTTAGTTTCCACCTCAGAAGCCTAAATGAGATGACATGTAAAGTAAGTCCAAGCTTCAAATAGCACTCACCATCCCCTGCCAGGCCTCCCGGCCATCTTGATGGCTGATTCCGTCCACACTGGGGAAGAGAGGTGTGCCCAGGGTTACCAGCAGCAGAGTCCTTGCTGGGACCCATGGCCTCCCTCCTGCCAGCCGCACTTACTCCCAGGCAGAGGCTTCTGGCATCCATGGACTGTGGATGGACCCACACTGGCCAGCCAGGTGCCAGTGCTGGGGCAGGGCTAGAAGGGAGCTGTTGTGAAGGGCAGGGAGGTGGAGGGCAAACAGGATGCCCAGTGTGCGGCTCACCCTCCCACCCTTTTTGGGACATGTGGTGTGGGATGCAGTCTCCCATTGCAGGCCCACTCCGAGAAACAGCTCATGGAGGGGCAGGTAAATCCACATGTCCCAGACTCCTTTTGCTGCTGGCAGTTTCTGGGACATTTGTGCATCTGCTGTCTCTGAACACCAACAGGCCAGGCATTTTAAAGCCCATTTGTAAGCTGGGGAAGGAATGCTGTCCTAGGGAGCAGGGACTTTAGCCTTTCTAGACCCTGCTCTGTTTGACTATTTTGAGCAAAGAGGTAACTGACATCTGTGGGTTTGCAGCATGATTGGGGCTGGGCTTGCAGGGGTTCTCTGACCTTTAGGTGCTCTGGAAGGGGCTGGTGACTGACTGTCAGGTGGGTGTGGGTCAGATTCAGTATTGACTTCAGCCCCTACCTTGGAAGGGAGCTGGCCAGGGAGGGAGTTCAGGGAGCAGAGCTTCCAGGAAAGGAGCCCGGCACAGCTGACTAGAGGCAACCCTTCTCCATCCCTCAAGGGACCTGCCAACTCACTGCCCTCTTCTTAGAAGTGCCTCGGTTGCCGCAGGCTACGTCTATGCTATGGGTAGCTCTGCTTCACACTGGCCTGACCACATACCCACTCCTCAGGGCAGCGTGGGCGAGAGCGTATGCCACAGTGTATCAGAGGCCGACAGGAGCCAGTCCCAGTGGGCAGAGAATGGTGGAGCAAAAAACACCCAGCAGGACTGACCTGTACTCTAAGATCCTGCCTGCCCCGTCCCAGTGTGACCTGGGGCAGGAAAATGAGACAGGGCTGGGAAAGCAGGGCTTGCTGGGTTGGGCCTGTTGTTAAGATGTTAAGATGCCTTTTATTAAGATGTTTTCTTTTTATTATTTTATTTTCTTTTTTCTTTTTTCTTTTTGTTTTTGTTTTTTTCCAGTACAAGGAATCAAACTCACGACCTTGCGCTTGCCAGGCAGGCGCTGTGCCACTGAACTATATCCCCAGCCCTCTTTTTATTTTTTTTAATGGAAATTTTTATTGAGCTTTTTTTTTTTTTTGCACTAGCCTTAGATGAAAATCCTCTTCCCCATACCTTTGTCCAATTGCTTGTAATGTTCTCATGCCCAAGGATTTGCCCTGGTGACACATTGTGAGGTAGGCAGAAGCAACACTTTCAATGAGTTGGCAAAAAAAAAAAAAAAAAAAGCCGCTGTAAACCCTTGTCCTCCTGGCAGTGGTTTGCATGCAACCCGGGCACATCTGACTCCCTTTGCAAAGAAAGGAGGGTGTGTGCGCCCCGCCCCCAGCCAGAGAGAGTGAATGCCATTTTATTGCTGGAAGGGGGACCTATAGGCCAGTGGGGGGGTCAGGATCGGATCTCGCTGGGAAGACCATTTAGTGCCCTGGGTCCTACATGGTGGGAGGTAGGGTGGACAATGACAGGGGAGGCTAAGTGCGGCCCAGTGCTTGCCAGTGTCAAAAAGCCGCATTGGGCAAGGACTGGCCAGTACAGCAGGGCTGGGCCAGGTGCCCTGAGGCTACTTCCGTCTGAAGGTCATTTTGGGAAATTCATGAGTGAATGAGCTCTGGGTCTCTCTCCTCCTCTCCCGCTGCTGAGAAGCCAGGCCTTGCTCTCTGAAATGAAGGAAAGTGGTGGGCAGATGGGATACACTGGGGTGAAGGCGTCTGCAGAACTTTACCTCCTGCAGCCTTTAATTCTGTGAGGGCTTCCTTCCCACGTGTAACACCCAGCATGGACCCACCGCTTCTTGGTGGGGGACTCTCCTGGCACTGTGTGTGTCTGCATTAGGGGCCCGCTCCATCCCTCCTTTCTCCTTCTTCTGTTTGTGTGCCCTGGACTTGGGCTTGGCGTGGGAAACAATCTAAGCATCCACGTACCACATTGCCCCTGGGGACGGAGACAGAAGTTACTAAGACCTGAGTGACACTGGTATCTTTTCCCAGGAGCTGTGGCTGGGGCATCCCCCTGAGGAGCAGCATGGAGCAGCAGAACAGAGAAGGCTGCAGCCCAGGCAGGACCCCTCAGCCCCCCAAGGGCAGTGGTGCTTCTTCAGGTCAATGGTGCCACCCAGGAAGGAGTCTTAGAGGCCTAAACTATAACCTGGAGAAGACTCCGCAGGGACCAAGTAATAGGTTGAGAAACCCTCCTCTGGGGCCTGACTTCAAGCTCCCACCTTTACCCTCACCTCTGGCCCCATCCATGCTCTTAGAGGACGAGCAGCCCAGGATGTCACCCTTGACAGGCACTGATAAGAAGTACCCAGTGCTGAAGCAGCGTGGGTTCTACTCTGACATCCTCAGCCCTGGAACTTTGGACCAACTCGGGGTAAGTATGGAAACTCTTCCCCTGGAAGCCAAAGTTGAGCCTTCCCCATGGGTTCCACTTACCCATCCTCCCATTTTTCTGCCTGTTATTTCATCTGTTCATTTAGCTAGCTAGCTATACATTTGTCCAAATGTTTGTTAATTTGTGACACCCACTTACATGTCAACTTGCCATCCACCCATATTTTTGACCACCCATGTAGCTAGCCATTTATCTGTCCATTCAACTCATTACTGAGCTCCTGCTGTGTGTCAGACCCTGACCTGATACCAGAGCCCCAGCAAAGATAACACATCCACATCCTTGTCATGGTGGGGCAATGGCTCAGTTTGGGGAGGGCTCTATGGATGAGATGGCATACTGTGGAGGTCTAGGAGATGCGTGTGCATTTGCTGTAGAAGGTGGAGGCTGGGAGAATTCCAGGTAGGGGGAACTACAGGTATGGACGGGCAAGGCCCATGTGAAGAGGAAGGGTAGCATGTGAGGGGAGAGATCAAGGGGTGAGGCTTGGGGAAGGGGAAGATGGGGAAGAAACGACTAGGAGAGAGTTCGCAGAGCCTTTTGGGTCCCATGTAGGCTTAGGAAGGCTTTAAGGAAGGAGAGGGGTCAAGAAAGACAGGACAAGGATTCACTGATACCCAGCCCACTGGTGGTACCACAGTAGCCCTTGAGAGAGAAGCTACACACAGAGAGACACCTGCTGACCTTACAGTGCCTGAACACACATTGGGACACACATTGTCACTGAGGAGGGGAGCTGTGCTGGACCAGAACGGGGAGGGCCAGGTGTGTGCCAGGTGGCTGTGGCATGTCACCTACAGTGGCCCTTGAACACTATGTGAGATACCAGCTCTGCCTCACCTCGGGCTTCTGGGATGCTCCTTGGCGGGCCTCAAGGAGACATCTGGCCTTGGGGTCCCTCCTCGGCCCTGACAAAAACTAGGACGTGTGTGTGCGTTTAGGGATCTGGGTTTTCGTTTCAGAACGTGTGTTGTGGCCCCAGCATGAACCAGAACTTCTTGCGTCAGGCTGACCTCGACAAATTCACTCCAAAAGGTCAGTGCCCACGAGGGGAGGTGAGTGGGTCCTACTGGGCCTTTAGAAGAAGCAGAGCCGGTAGTCCCACAGAGACGGCCTCTTCCTGGTGAGAGGCCTCTCTTCCTCAAGGGTAAAATGAGGCTAAGAAGAGATAAGTTGCTTCACAAAGGCTGGGCTCATGGAAAATGCTGCATTATTACTCTTCTCAGAGCCATGACAAGGGCGCCACGCTGGCTTGGGGCAGCTGAGGGCCAGGGCCACAGTTCTGCCCGCCCAGCTGGGTTCTGTAGGACATTTATGCATGGGTTTTCTGCCTCCCTTGGAATGTAGGCTTGAGGGAGACCAACACTGTCTGAGCTGCTCCCTGCTGGGACCCAAGACCTGAAATGGGTGCATACGAGACCTTTGCTGAAGGTTGAAGGGAAGACTGTCCCCTCGGACTCTATGGAGAGTCTTGGAGGCCAACTGGGAGTCAGGACGGGGACCGGCCTGCAGAGTGTGGGGCAGACCTGTGGTGGAAAGGTTGGGGGCCCCTGCAGAGCCCGTGGGTGGTGAAGAGGAATTGGGCAGGATCCCTCCCACCTGGCTGCCTTTGATCTCCTCCTCTAGCAGACAGGGCACTCTTCCCTTGGGCACAGATGCCCCCTGGCCCCAGCTGTGTGCTATCATGTCCACCCCAGGGAAGGCCTGGCTCCTTGCTGGCATTGCCCATTATGGGTCTGCGACCCCCTCAGCTGACACAGAAAACATCACAAGAGAGGGCATTTGTGCACCTACCTGAGGATCTGGCTTATTCTCCACAGTCTCATAAGTATCTATGCCCTGGGAAAAGGTTATAAACCATAGATCTCGGGCCTGCGGGTGTTGTAACAATGCTCCTACCATGCATGTCAGGAGAGGGGGGTAGTCAGTAGCTCAGTGTCTGCACCCCCACAGGAAAGGCAGCCCCAGTGGGGCACAGGATAGTGTCAGTGGGGCCATGGCGCCAGTGACAGAGTCCACTGTGATGCCCAAGGGCTAACTGGAGGGCTGGAGAAGGCGGCGAGGCTCAGGGACGCAGCAGGGGTTGGAGCCAGGCTCAGCCCTCTTTGCCGTGGCTCCTTCCTGGATCCTTCTGAGTGGGTTCTGGAAGTGGAATGGTGTTATGGACCCCCGGGCTGAACAGCAGGTAATTAGCAGTCCGAAAGCTGCCTTCTTGTCATGGCTGTCGGGTGCTGTGGAGTGTCATGGGTGCTGGGAGCCCTGCCATGACAGCTAGTTTTACTGAGGGCAGGAGCCTCAGACACCAGCCAAGGCCCCAAATCTGAAGGCTTCTGTGGGGCCCCGAGGGCAACCTCAAGGTGGGCCTCCCTGAAGTGTGAACAGCTCTTGATCCCAAAGAGGTAATGAGGCTCAAGGAGGAGGCCACCATGGCCTCCCAGGGTCCTTGGACTCTTTGGACACCTTTGTCCACTGGGAGAATAGATGGAGGGCATCCAGAGCTCCCCCAGGGCCCAGGAGAGGTGGCCCACCTCTCTCTGAGGCATATCCCACACTGCCTTTTCCCACCTCCATGACCCCCATTTCCCTGGGACTTTCCTCCATGGTGTACCCATGTCCCAGGAAACATTCAGCCCCGACCGCCTGGGACAGTCTGTCACACTACCTGTGGAGCTTCCCCTACTACCTCCCTTCCCCCCCAGATCTTGAATGGAAACCTTTATCTGCCACTGAGTAGGGGCAGCCATTTGGTGACTTAGGGGTCCTCCAAAACCACCCATCCTTCCAGTATCTAACATGCTTCAAGCCTGGAAATGGTCCCAGAGAATGAATGGCATCCCAGCCCTCACATGCTAGCGATGGGGTTGGGAGAAGGGTAGCGGGGACCCATCGAACTCTACCCTCCTGGGGAGTTGTAACCCTCAGCCATAGTTCAGTTCAGCACCTGGCTTGAGCAATGGGCCCTGATGCAGGGATTTTGAGTGGATTGTAAGGGAATGGTCAAGCACTGGCCCCAGACAGGGAGAGTGGGACCTAAACAGACCTGGAGGCTCTGGCCCTCATGGTTAGCACCCCACAGGCAGTTGTTCCCTCCTCTGTCTTCTCCCTCACAGTGCCCCACCACAGGCCAGCTCTAAGCTTCCCAAGCCCCAGAGCTTGTCTGCGGGCTCCTGCCTGGTGATTTGTCTTACTGGATAATTGGGATGGGGGAGTCATGAGGCCCCAGCCTGAGTCCTGCAACGCCTGCCTCTGCCTCTGCCTCTGCTTCTGCCTCTGCCTCTGCCTCTGCTTCTGCCTCTGCCTCTGCCTCTGCTTCTGCCTCTGCCTCTGCCTCTGTCTCTGCTTCTGCCTGCAGTTGGAAGCTTCGTGATTCCAGAGGACTTTGAGGAGCGCATGGAGCAGCAGTGCATCGGGTCCACCACGCAGCTGCTGTCTCAGACAGACTTCCCCCTGCAGTCCTATGAGCCCAAGGTGCAAGTGCCCTTCCAGGTGCTGCCTGGCCAGCGGCCCCGCAAGGTTGAGATTGAGAGGTACAGCTGGTGGGGCTGGAAAAGGGCTTGTCCTCCCTACATGGGATGAGGGGCTCCAGACCACCAGGTGACAGTGCACAAGCACTGAACTCAAATCTTCTATCCAGTCCTGGTGGAGAAAAAATTCTTAGGATTAAGATCTCTTAGTGGGGAAAAATGGCTTTCCTCGCTGTAGAACAGGAGAGGGTCGGTGAAGGAGAGAAGGGCATCTGGAGCTCAGGATTCTAACCACTGCCATTATCCCACTTCCGTGAGAAATCCCAGAGGGGCAGAGAGCCGCAGAGTGGTCCCTCGGCCGCAATGCTGCTGCAGCCCCTACGCCCTTGCTGAGCCCCCTCATGTGAGCAGAGCTGCTCTGAGAACCCACCCCTGCCTTGGCCAGGAGAAAGCGGAAGTACCTGAGCCTGGACATCGAGCAGCTGCTGGCCAGTGAAGGCATCGACTCCAACAAGCTCATGCCCAGGCACCTGGATCTCCAGAACCCTCAAACCATTGAACAGGGCCATGACCCGCTCTTCCCCACCTATCTCCCCCTGAAGGTGAGCTGGCTTCCACAGATGGCCAGGGGATAGAATGAGGTGCAGGATCCGGGCTGAGGCTCAGGAATGAGGCCCTACAGGGGATCCTCATGGCAATCACAAGTGCTCACTTGTCACGCCGGGCACCTGAATAATCACAGCCCACCTCAGGTCCTCAAGTATCTTAGGCTGGCATGGGAGGGGCGCCCACAGTCCCATGGATGCTAGCTCTCTGCTGCTTCTCTGGAGCCTGGCAGGCTCGGGGCTCTGAGAAGCGGCCTGGCTGCCTGTGGAGCAGTGCACAGGACCCCCTGACCAGGGCCTGCCTGGGGCAGAGAACTGTTTATGCGCTCACTGAAATGGAGGAGGTCATGGGTGCCACCCCTCAGGGCACAATGGGGAACAGTCTGAGGAGGAGAAAGAGGGCGCGGTGGCCCCGGCTTTTATTCACTTCCGTCTCCCTTTCTGACCGTGGCCCTAGTGTCCTGCCTGTTGGTTTCTGCGGAGGCAAAGCCGAATCCAGCTGCACGTCATCCTGCCAAGGGCTCCCTCCTGGTGGGGCGCTCAGGAACCCCCAGAGCCACCTGTTTCTTGAGCAGGAGCTGGCTGCTCCAGGACAGTGGGAAAGACAGCTGACATTCTGCTGAGTTTCCAGACAGCTCTGCCTGAGCCTTGGGAGGCTTAGAGACAGGGATCCAGGGTTTCCCGTCATCAGGCCCCGCATACCCCTGGGAGTGGCGGGGAAGGATTCAGTGTGACACCCCTCCCCCATCCTTTGGTGTACTCAGCTCCACCTGGACCCTAGGGGAACTGCTTCCTCTGGCCCATCTTTTTCACAGGTTTTTGACAATGAGGAATTTGACTGCCGTACTCCCAGTGAATGGATCAGCATGGGCTTGGAGCCAGGGTCTCAGAACAGGAAACCCGTCCCTGGCAAAGCCCTCCTGCCCACTGATGACTTCCTGGGGCATGGTGAGCAGGGAGCCATGGGAGATCAGGCACCCTTTGAGGCCTCAAGGGTCTCAAGGAGCCAAGGAGCTGGCCACACAGAAGCACAAAATGCAGGGACCAAGGATGGCATACGTAATATAACTAGGCAATGTGAGGGTCACACAAATTTCTAAGGCAGAGGTGCTATTTTAGGCAAAGATACTTCTCCAAGAAGAAGCCACTTGAACACAGAACAACCAGCAATGAGGCTCTCTGAGTGAAGAGTGTTCAGGGCGGATGCACAGGCCCTGAAGCAAGAGCAAGTGAGGGGTCACAGGGATAGGCAGACATCCAGAGTGGCTAGAGTGGGGGCTGGGGATTCAGCTCAGCCGCACCGCTCCTGCCTGTCAAGCGCAAGGTCTTGAGTTCAATTCCCAGTACCAGAAAACAAACAAACAAACAAAAATCTTTTGGGGCTGGGGATTTAGCTCAGCGGCACAGTGCCTACCTGCCAAGCACGAGGTCGTGAGTTCAATTCCCGGTACTAAAAAAAAAAACAAAAAAAAAAAACACCCAAAAAACAGAGTGGCTGGAGAGGAGGGAGCAAGGGGGCAAGGGCAGAAGGAGAGCTAGAGCAGAGGGCAAAGGCATTCCACGCCCTCCAAGGAGGAGTTGGGAGGCCCCTCCTGACCCAAGAGGCCCTGAGGTGTCCACACTGAGCTCATGGCAGGACAGTGGCCTCCAACCCCGCTTTACTTTGCCCTCTTCTGATATAAAGAATCTGTGGCTTAATAACCAGGACCTTCGGGGAGGGCTGCCCCTTGGCTTAAGTCACCTTGAAGGTGCACCGCTCTTCCACGATATCATCCATGACAGGTCTCAACAGCTTTTTTGTTTTCCTGGGGATTTTGACTTAGGCCTCTCTCTATTTTAATGGGGTCCTATAGAGGGGCCTAAGGTCTGTAGAGGGGTCTGGTCCTTTCGGGTCCTCCTGGGGCTGCGTATTCCTCAGAGTCCCGCTCAGCTGGAAGGAAGCAGAGCCAGAGAGGGTGTCCTGGTGGGAGAGAAGCCAGTCAAGTAACCTCTGAGATCCATGCCGGTATCTGCTGCCCCACGCAGAGATCCCTCCCAACTCCTACGGCCGGGAGCACTGGTGGGTGTCTCCTCTTGTTTCAGAGGACCCCAAGAGTCCGAAGCTGAAGTACGAATGGTGCGAGGTTGGCGTCCTAGATTATGACAAGGAGAAGAAGCTATACCTGGTACACAAGACGGATAAGACAGGCCTTGTGCGAGACGAGATGGGGCAGCCCATCCTAAATGGAGGGGTCACTGCCAAAGGTACGCTCTGCCTCAGCCCGGGGCAGACCCCCAGTTTGAGCCTGGTCTAGCCTGTAACCGAGGACAACCCCTCCAAGGGCACCACCAGCTGAACCCTACTTTGCTCGGTTTGATCGGTGGCTGTCTGTCCCTTGACCAGTGAAAACCAAAGGGCTAGCAACTCAGAGACCCCAGAAAGGACAAGTGGCCACTATTTGGCATGTCAGCTCGGAGCCACTGGCAGTGCTGCCTTTAAAATGATGTTGAAAAGGAGTCTGAGGCCCATGAGTTAGTGGTGTCTGCCCTGGATGCAGTTTTGAGTGGACCCCTGAATGGCCGCCTCTGTGTAACACCTTGCCTGTGCTCTGCTCCTGCTTACAGTTTACAAAGCACGTCCATATCCTTGCTGACCCCCCAGTGTGTGGGCAAGGCAAGGAGCATCTTCATTTCCACTCAGAGCCACCATGCATCAGTAGCCCAGCTGGCCAGAACCCAGTGCTCTGGCCCGGAGAACCTTACTGTCTGTCCCTTCTCCCTCCCACCGGCCCCTAGGAAGGCCACCGCTCCTGGTCTGTCAGTACTGGGTGCCGCGGATACAGCTTCTCTTCTGTGCAGAGGACCCTCATGTGTTCACACAGCGTGTGGTCCAGGCCAATGCTCTGCGCAAGAACACAGAGGCGCTGCTACGGTACAACCTGTATGTGGACTGCATGCCCTCCAGGGACCAGCAGCTCATCAGTGAGCAGAGCCTGAACAAGATCAAGCAGTGGGCCATGAACACGCCCAAGATGCGCAAGGGTCCCACGTGAGTCTGTGGGGAGGTGGGGTACCAGCGGGGCAGAGCACCCTCAGAGCTCATCGGTGTCGGGGCTATCTTGTTCCTGCACTATGGATTGGTTCAGGCCCCGTCTTAGTTACTTTTCTTGTTGCGGAGACAAAATACCCAACACCCACAAGGTAAAGGAGGAAAAGATGTATTTTGGCTCACAGTTCATAGAGGGTTCAGTCAGTAGTTGTCTGACTCCCAGGCCGGTCGGCAAGCCAGAGGGGCATTGCAGAAGAGAAGCAGTCCACAGCAGAGCAGGCAGGAGGCAGCAGCAAGCCTACCTTCTGTCTGTTCCTTTATATTCCCCCCAAACTACAAGCCTATTGGTTAGTGCTACCCTCACCCAGGGTGAGGCTTCCTTCTTCTGTAAATCCATTCAGCCATGACCAGAACTACGCTTGTCCAGTTAAGGGACTAATCCAGATATTACACAGCCCTTACCCACATTCACACACCCCAGAGCCCACCACCACTGAAAAGCCCCACCTATGGGCCCATGGGGCTTTGGGGGAGCGTTTAGATAGAAGCCACAACAGGCCCTAAACAGATTCGTGTTCATCTGTCTCTACATACCTCATTATCAAGAGGGATTCCTGGATTCCTTCGGTGAAGGTGATACATATCCGTTACACCCATTTTTCATTTCAGTGCTTGAATTCCCTGTACAGGAGCCTCTTCGGGCTAATTCCTGTGTCCTTCTGATGTGTTCCCACCATTCTCTGAGCATGTCCTTACCTTCTGCTGCAGCAAGAAGGTCTAGGTTTATCTTGTACTTGCTAAGACCCAGCCTGAAAGTCAGCTTTTTCTTCAATGAGCCTTAGTTCCTCCTAGTGGGGAGTTTAGAAGCCAAGGTGTAGGCATTAGATATGTTTATTGCTATTGGGAAATCATTGCTTCAAGGTTCTTAGAGCAGACAGATCTAGGAAATTCTACGTGTAAGTAGTAACTTCCACACACATCTACATCTTTTTCTATATCCACT